TGTAATGTACTCATTTACTGATTGTTTTATTCTCTGTAGATACAATACTTCTCTCATCATTTATAATTTATGTTAAGTGTTCTATCAGTAGAGATGAGCACAATAAATACATAATAAAAGATATTCTAACAGTAGAGATGAGCACAATAAATACATAATAAAAGATATTCTAACAGTAGAGATGAGCACAATAAATACATAATAAAAGATATTCTAACAGTATAGATGAGCACAATGAATGTTTTTATTATTGTTAATGATAAAGCCAAGTACTCTAAGTAAAATGAAACAAGTTACTAAAACACACAGCAATACTATAATAATAATTTCACTTATAATAGTGGTGGTATCAAGATACAAACATTTCATTAATTACAACTACATGTCATTAACTGCATCACTCACAGCCAAAGTGAAACCACTGAAAGAATAAGTGAACATAATGTAGTTGTTCTGAAATAATGATCAGGAAGAAGCATACTAAAAAGAGCAACTGAAACAGAAATGTCGAGTTTCAAGAAAAAACAGGAGTTGTTAGTTTTTTGTAGTAACTAACTTGCCTCAGTCATACTCTATTGAAGAATCAGGATTTTTTTCCTTCATTAGAATTCAGCAGAAAAAGAGGTTACTATTGAACACTTGGAAAAGATTTTGCCACAACTGGTAAGTTTTGTTTTGAATGTAATGCATATTTCAAGGATTAGATTTTCACCATATGACAAATATAGTGTGGTTTGAATACTGTTATTATACAACCTTCTAATTTTTGAAAATCCCTGAAAGATTTGATAAAAAATGGAGTGTTTAAAAATGTACTAGGCCTAACACTAATGTCCTATGAGAAATATAATTATTCCTTGCCAGCTTGTGAAAGGCACAGACACACACACACACCATATCAAATGGCTTATGTAAATATTGTTCTGATCACTGCTATGTTTATTGTATCCACCTGGCCTGAAAAGCTCTATTGAGTGAAACACATTGTTGGCCATGGAGGTGACAAATATAGTGTGGTTGGAATAGTTATTTTACACACTTTTAATTCTTGAAAATCCCTAAAGGACCATAGTGTTTTTATAACACATTAGTGTTAAGCCTATTATGTTTTTTAAAGTCTTAAAATATTTAACTTGCAGGTACATGTCTATTTGCACAGTTATTTATAATGATTAAATTATAAACTATATCATTATTACTCAGTTTGTAATCTTGTTTTCAGATCTTGGATTTCTAAGCAACATTTTCCAGAAGAAACTCAGTGTTGGTAGAAAACATGAAGAAAAATTTATCACTAAGTTGTAAATATCAAATATATAAAAATCTTATTGTTATTATAAATTCATGTCAATTTTTTTATTAAATAAAATTTCACTTCAACTTTTCTGGAAGCTATGGCCATTTTTTTTGCTGTTACATATACTTGGAAGTTCTGTCAAAGTTTAAACAAAGACTTAAACACCAAAGTTTCAGTCACATATTTGTATCATTTTGATGAATAATAATTTTGTTTCATAAGTATGCTTTCAGTTTGTTTTGTTGTATCTTAACAGAGTGTAATGGTGTATATGGTTATGCTTTTATAAGACACATAGATAAATAAGCAAAACGAGTTCCACAAAAAAATTTATTTGATCAAAATACATGATGCTATGGTTCAAACAGGTGCTCTACAGTGTAACTAGCTTCTGGGTTTTCTTTTTTT